AGTAACAGAGGCAAAAAAATCAACGGCTTCGATAGCAGTCTGAAAATAATTAAAATGTGAGTAGATATGAGAAACGATGACGAAAAGACTGAGAGCTTTATAATCAGGAATCGGTAACGAGAGTCTAACAACAGTTGCTTTAGGTAACGAAAGTCTAGCACAACTGTGAATTGTGGGAAAGTTGAGTAAAATTTCCAAAAAACCTACCCAAAGGTATAATTTCCGGTGACAAGATTATCAAGGCGGAGCACAGCTGTGTTCATTGCAGGTAATGAAATTGCCGGACCGTTTAGAAGTTTCCATTCATATTCCAAAGGCTGACCACTGTCATCCCAACTACCTAAAGCAACCACATGCCCTTGCCGTGGAACTTACCAGTGCTATCCGAACACATTTTTACAAAATAATAAAGAACACTTCCATTGTGTTAGGTAGCACAGCGTTCACATTGACCTTTTATTTCTTAATTAAACTTTCGAAATCAATCTTTTTCGCAGGAATTTTGAAAAGACTGAAAATTTCCAGATGTCCATAACAAGAAAGTACCTTCGGCATCCAATACTAAATGATTCCCTTCGCTAACATGAATTAGACTTGAGGGGCGTATTAGCGCTACGGGTGGCTTATTGGCGCGTTGTTCTGCAAGAACTCTGAGTGTCGTGTCCTTGAAGCTTTTATTAGTAGAATTTGCGACAGTGACACGTAAACGCATCATTCCTTCTTTTAACTAAACTTTAAAAAATTAAAAAACTAGCAGCAAGTTCTATTTTTAACCATTGACAAACATGTATGTAAAACATAAACGTGAATAATGTTCTAGGAATAAGCGATTGGAAGTTGAAAGATTACCCACCTTAACAGCACTTCTATTTTCCTCCTCCTCAATTTTCCATATTTAAACTGATCAGTCCTATAAAACGTAAAATAACCCCGAGAATAAAGGGGGGCCTGTAAATTATTTTAAAAACATACATTTGTGATGATAAGAGTTGGTTCCGTATATGTGTTTGCTGTACCGAAACCTCCTCCATCTAGAACCTCCCAATAATAAGTGAAATTTGACTGATTTTCTGAAAATTCTGCATTTCAGTCCCATTTTTTTATCTTTTAATTATTCGAAATGTTAAATCAAATGCATCAACATTTCTTTAATTAAGAGCTGATTGAAAAAAATCTTGAGCGTTATAAATAATCTGCTACAGAATAAGCTTTTTTCCTACGACCTACAGAACGATTAAATTTTTAAGGCAACTAGTGCAAGGTTCGTATACAGACAACGTCAATATCAAAAAAAAGAGAATGGATATAAACCGATAGGTTATTAAATCATTCACCTCCTACTCAGTTTTTTCTTTTTAGCTCTACTTTCTTCCCTGAAAATCAAAAATAAAAATATGGCAGAAATACCCTGAGTTGCGTCAATAAATTTTATAGACAATATGGTACTGTCATGAGGGAGCTGAACAGTTGTTGGACCAACAATTTCAAATTTTGGAGTAGAGAATGATGAATTAAATAGACTGCCAGTAATCGGTACCGAATGACAGGAACCGTTGATCCGTATAAAACCAGCAATGCAAACACATTTTTCAGTTGCAACCTGTCAGAATATTATCTGAATGTAATTCGACAGCATATCTACCTTCCGCACTCCCGGTGTTACCATAGAATTTCTCCTTCCTCACTGGAAGGACCGAACTAACCCTAGAAATTCGAACTCGAGTCAGGAACTCTTCACTTTACAACTTTCCAAGCAACAGCAAAAAATAAAACCTACATAACACGGCTACGAAAAATTAGACGAGTTTTGAAAGGAAAGCATTACCTCGCAAATTTCGTTTGCTATACATTTGTTATTACACAAACCACTTATTGTAGTTTTACTGAATGAATGAGCGATTTCCTGCAATTAAAATGTAAGATTGAATGGTTTACGCATAATTATGAATCACAAGCACGACAATAACCAGCAGTTCTGTTATCATGACTTTTATTTCGATACCTGCGATATCAGGGTAAAAGTCAACTGTCAGTCTATAAAGCCTTCATTAACATAATAATTTGTAGTAAACCTCAGGAAAATGTATCACCTGCTCATCGGAATAGTTTATACTTCTCTTCTGACTCTGGTTATTCTTCAGCAAATTAAAAGCGATTCTAGCGACATCATAACCCTGAGAATTAAGTAACCAGCAGCTACGTTCAAAACAAGTTATCCAATAAGTAGCTGTTTTATCCTGACCAATGCTATCACACGGTGCACTATAACCACATTCTTCCTTGCACCAGAGCATGCTTGCACCCTACAAATAAAATAAAATTTGGAAAAGAGCATATCGCTCCCTTCATAGTAAACCAGATACCAAAGAAAGATCCTATTTTCGAACTGCACCCAACGACAAAAAAATTGCAAGAACAAAATGTTCGAAATTGTTTCTGGGAACAAGTTTTAACTTTTAGTCTTTCATCAACAAGACTTATATTAACCCGCTTCCTTCTCACCAATTCATTAAGAGTCACGAATGAGCCATTCTTACTGACTACAAGAATGGAGAAATCCCTATAAACAGAAAGAATTAGGTCAACAGAAGAAAAATTTGCTAAAAAGAACCAACTGAAAAACTAACAGAAACCTTTCTCAACTCGCTATTTAGCAAAAGTAGCGAAACGACTAGTAGAGTAATATTCTTCCTAGGATATCACGAAACTAATACACCTTATGCTTTAAATCGATGAGTACAGTTTATACACAACAATTTTCAAATACGCTAAATATCATTCTTCTATACCAAACAAGCGAAACGAACAATGTGACAACATTTAAAATGTTTACCTCCCTCAAGAAAAAGACATCTCTTTTAACATTCACGCAATCCGCCACCGGAGAAGTGGTGACGACCAATAACATTAGCTGTATAGAATACATCAAAATTAGTTGTATTTTTTCGGAAATCAGAAATTGAATCGACTGTATTCAAATCGAATAAAGGTATTTAAAAAATCCGCTGAAGGATAGTATTAATGCGTTCTGCTTGATTTTATATAATGGCACTGCATCATGCAAAATGATTCTGAAATATTGTTTACTGTTTGGCAGGAATACCTGAACAAATACGTTTAAGTGTAAAGTCTATGACCACTCCCATCATCTGAAAGAACATTAAGGAAGCAGTTCGAAATAATCTACAAACTTCTCTTAAGAATATTCCAATAAAACAGTCAGCACTGACTGAACGATACAAGAATGCCAGTTGAAGTAATTTAAAGTAAGAATCTTCATACCGCTCTCTTTGAAATGCAGAGCAATTTGCTGTGAGCATAATTTGCAAATCCTAATAAAAAATCCAGTAGACAATCCTTCGAGTGAAGATTACTTTGTATTTATTCTCAAAAAACAATCATAGGTGGATATTATTCAGTTAAAAATCTGAATAAGATTGAAATTCCTTCGATGCAAGGCAGTGGAATATTTTGGCCTGCGATCTCGCAAGAAGTAATTATGAAATGGAGTATTTATCAAAGTAAGATTGAAATAACATGACAAATGCACAGCCGTACAAAGTGGACAAATTGCTCAATGACTGCCCAGCTTAAACCCAAATATTCCTTAGTAATATCACACATCATTTCTAGTTATATTCTTAAAACCTCTAATACGTTTTTAGTCTCGGAAACTTGATACAATCTGTCACTGAAACCTGACCAATAATCAGTTTTCCTTATAAAACTTTCTTTTGATATTAAATGTCATTTGAAAAAAGAAAAATCCATGATATTCAATTTTCACACAAAACTTCTAATAAAAAGAAAAAGTAAACAACTATATGGGTTTTTGAGCAAAATTAATCTCCCTAATAATATAATCACCATTGATTTCATGCGCATCACCGGCTATGCTTTCCCTTTGCTCCAACTGTTGTTGTAGGTGACGGAACATGTCGATCAATTGTACATGAAACATCAACAGGTTACGTGGACAGCAATTAGAGATTTACTGCATTTCTCATAATAACAAAACCAAAGTGACAATGAAACGATCTAGCGCGGGACTACTATCGCGTTCTGTTCATCTCATTCCTCCAAAATGTATAAACTTCCCCCTTTCAATTTCGAAAAAATACAAAGTTTGGAGGAAATGAACCCACAGAATGTTTATTTAACACTCAAATTAAAAAGGATCTAAGTTAAATTTGCAGATATTTCTTTAGCGTTAAAAACCAAATACCCACCAAAATATGCTAGCCGAGAGCTATAAAATATACCCATAAGTGATGTGAAATAAGATCCCAAACTAAATGACACTAAGAAATAAGGAATACCATAATTGCTGCAAAAGAAGAAACACTTCGTATTACAGCGTGACATTTTTCATTCCAAATAAAACGCTGTGAATGGCTATCAGCGAGAACTGCCACAAGCTTTAGTATCTGAAAAAGGGTTAAAACATTAAGATATCTGCAATGTTCTACGAGCATCATGTTATATATACATATATATATATATATATATATATATATATATATATATATATATATATATATATATATATATATA